CTGGCATGGCTGGGGCCCACCTATCTCCCTTCCGTCAGACATGGTGATCCTGTTCCCCTGCCTCTGGTCACGGTTCTGCTTCTGAAGCCAGTGCCCCCAGTCCAAGCCCTGGTTGGAGAGTGGCAGTGGTGGGTGCACCTGGGGCCACCGAGGGGGCTGGGATGAGGAAGGGGTCCTGGCAAGACAAGGGCGTCTGGGAGGCAGAGGCAGAGGGCCCCTGAGGGAGCGGGGAGTGGGGCCAGGAAGGGCCTTGTGGGGAGAAGAGAGGCCCCCGGTGAGAAGAGGGGCAAGGAAATGGGAGATATTCTGGGGAGACAGAGAAACGAGGAGCTCCATTCTGGGTGCTTCCATCCTCCCCAGGCCCCTTGGGGCTGTTCCCCTCCTGTCCTCACAGGGGTGCCCTTGGAGGTTGCCAGGATTTGGACTCCTGAGGCCTAGTGGAATGCAGTGAAGCTCTGACTTCCCTGCTGGGGCCAGGGGGCCCAGGCCAATCCTCTCTGGGATCCTAGCACCTTGCACAGGCCTGGCCCCCTCAGCAGCTCAGGAGAGGTTTGCCTAAGTGAATGGAATGTGCCACCAGGCCACCACTAGGAGGCACTTTTGTCCCATCTGCCTTGAGTCAGCTCCTAGCGGGGAGGAAGGGAGAATGGGGGTGCTGCTGCACAGCACTGAAGCCCCCCCCCACTGCCCCGCCCCCATGGCCGGACGTTCCAGAGGGGGCTCACCCAGGCCCCCGAGCTCATGTCCAGGACTGAGCTTGGGTAGTGGACTGTTCAGACAGCCTCCTACTCTCCCTGGGCCTGTGCACTCTGAATAGGAAGTCCTAAAGGGATGGTCGCCATGTCTGAGCCCACCTCCCGGTGAGGGCGGGCCAACTCCCCTCCCTCTCCTCCCATCTCCTCCATGCCTCATCCAGTGGCATGTTTCCTGGATCTCTGTTTATGCTGACTCCAGGCCAGAGCACCCTTGTAGTTTTCAGAGCTTTGCATATTGATCATCAAGGACCTTAGCTGGGCTCTAGGGCCAGGTCCAGAGTGACAGGGCTGCGGGTGGGAACTGAGGCTTGGAGGCCTTGCTCTTCTGCCCCCTTGTTCCTTCTGTGTGGTTGTGTGGTCGTGGACTCCAGACTCTCACCGGCACAGGCACGGTGCGCTCGGGCTCACGGTTGCTGGTCCCTCAGCCTGGAACCCCCACCAGGCTTCCTTCCCCTGAGTCCTGCTGCCCTTCAGGGTCCAGCTGGCCCGCCCCTCCTCCTGGGGACCTTCCCGAAGCTCAGGACTAGGTGGGACCCTCAGTTATGTCCCCTTTCACAGCAATTCTCACATCTGTAATTTCCCATACAGGTCTGTGTGCCCTGCTAGGCTGTAAGCCCTGTGAGGCATGGATTAGGGCCAGGGCCCCATTTTAAAAAAACAAACAAACAGCTTGGTTGAGATATAATTCACATGCCATATAATTTGCTCATTTATTTTTTATTTTTAAAAAAGTTTTATTTAATTATTTTAGAAAGAGAGTGAGCCGGAGCAGAGGGAGGAGCAGAGGAGGAAAGAATCTCAAGCGGACTCCCCTCTGAGCACGAAGCCCAACTCGGGGCTCCATCCATAACCGTGGGATCAGGGCCTGAGCTGAAACCAAAAGTCAGATGCTTAACTCAGGTGCCCCTATAATTTGCTCATTTAAAATGTACAGTTCAGGGTTTTAGTATATGCTCAGACATATGCAACCATCACCATAGTCAAATTTAGAACGTTTTCACCACTTCAAAAGGAAAATTTAGCTATAATCCCCTGCCCCATCCTCCCTCTCCAGCCCTAAGCAACCACTAATTTGCTTTCTGCCTCTGTGGATTTCCCTCTTCTGGATTTTCATGGGAATGGAATCATAGCATATGTGATTTTTGTGTCTGGCGTCTTTTACTTACCATGGTGTTTTTAAGGATCACCCATGTGGTGATGTGGATGAGTAGTTCATTCCTTTTCATGACTGAATAGTATCCCATCGTGTGGCTATACTATATTTTGATTATCCATTCATCCACTGATGGACGTTTGGATGGTTTCCACCTTCCAGCTGTTGTGAGTAATGCTGCTAATGAGCATTCACATACAGGTTTTTGTGTGGACACATGTTTTCATTTCTCCTGGGTGTATATCGAGGAGTGGAATGGCTGGGTCCTGTGGCAGCTCTCTGTTTAATGTTTTGAGGAACCGGCGGAATGTTTTCCAAAGTGGCCGCACCATTTTACAGTCCTTACTGTGGGCTCTTATGTCCTGTGTCTGTTCTGTCTGCTGAGTAAGTCGACCTTGATTGGAGCTGTCTTGTTCATCACTGTTACCAGCCCCTGGGTGGCCTGACCCAAAGCAGGTGCTTGATAAATATATACTGAATGAATGGAAAAGTGGATGAAAGCCTCCTTTTGAATATACTGTCCTCGACTTCCTCCCAGACTCTATCCTTACAACTTTCTCTGTGAACCTCTCTCTGACCCCCTTTCTGGACATAATCATTAGTTGCCTTTTCCTGTTGCTCCCATATTCTCTGCCTCTCATTATCTATGACTCCTCTGGGGTCAAGAGAAGGTATTAGTCAACTCGGTATCACCAGCTTCTAATGCAGGGGTTGGCACAGAATGGATGCTCTGCATGGGACCATGGGGGGAGGGGTCTAACACTCAGGGGCCACAAGGGGGAGTTTGTGGTGGGGGGATTGTTACAGGGGATCAGTGAGGCAACAGGAAGGTTTTGGGGGCCCCACAGAGGGTAGAACTGCTACTACCAAGTCTCATCTCCAGGTCTTGGGGCTCCCTAGGAGGGAGAGGGGACTAGAAGTTTCTCCTCCCTGGCTGGACTGGTGCCCATCTGCACAGCTTTCCCCAGGCCTGCACCTGCCCTGCCCTGAGACTGGTCCAGGATGGGGAGGCTGCTAAGCATCAACATAATTCGGGCCCCCACAGGCTTTCTGTAGGACATGGGCAGGGGACCATGTGGTGAGGGGGCCTACGTGTATAAGGCCATGGTTTTTAACATGGCAAGTGACTTGCAGTCTATTGGGGTGTGATATGCAGGTTTTAAATGCAGTTTGTATGGATCCACATTTATTCCACAGGCTGTTTGCAGATCATTCATAGGTAGCTTTTCCATGAGTATGATAACCTTCATTTCCACTCCCAAGCCCTCCCAGCTCCCAGCTCCCAAAGGCTGCTCATTGGTTCCCCTCCAGCCTTCTTGTACCCCACAGAGCCAAGTGAAAAATCCGGATTCCTGCAGCCTGGGAACAGTCAGTTTATTGGGAACAGACAAGCCCAGAGGCTTATGACAGAGATGGAAGCTCCCTGGGTGGGTGGGTTCCTGCAGGATGCAGCACTAGGGGCCTCTGGGGAGATGGGGTCAGCACAACACCTCCTTCTGTGCAGCCCCTGAGCCAAAGCCTCCCAGTTGCTGGGCAGCCCCACATCGCTATAGCCAGGAAAACATGTTCATATCAGACCGAAAGCAGGAGGACCTAGAAAGAGAGGGAGCAGGACCAGGGGCGGGGCGGGGGGTGGTGCCGTGAGGGCTATGTACAGAGGGTGGGGGAGGGTCTTGGTTCCATTGAGCAAATGGTGTCGGCTTGTGATTGTCTCTCCATCCAGGAAGTATTCCACGTCCCCTTGCCTTTGTTTTGGCATTTACCCGCCATCAGCTGCCAATGCAGCCCAGGAAAAGGATGTATTTTCATAGTGTGAGTCCAGCACCCCTGAGCAGGTAAATCTACTGCCCAAAGACCAGCCCTCCATTCTACGTGCCACCCGAGAGGACCATGAACAGGTCTCGAGTGATCCTGAAACACTGGCACTTGGCTTTGGAGTTCAGAATGGGATTTGATCATTGCAATAGTGCATGTGTTAGCTGGGTGTTAAAAGAAGTTCACTTAGGTGCATGAGAGCCAGACGAAAGGGAGGTGGGGAACTTCCAGGGGTTGGGAGTGGGAGACTGGCTTTGTGGGCAACCTTTCAGGGAATAATCCACAAAGCAGAACTTTGATGTGTTCACCCTGAGGGCCTAGCTCAGGGTCCGCACACGGCTAAGGGAAAGGTGACTCTTGCAGATGCCTGAGGGGCGCCTCTCAGTGAAAACCCAAGGGAAACCTGTGGCCAATACAGGAAGGTGGGGTTTGGGAATATCCTTGTCTTCAGCCCTGGTCGGGGGACAACATCCAGGCGGGGGGCTGGCTCCCCATCCCTGGGCTTCCAGCTTCGGGGGCCGTGCTAACACTTATAGGAGGAGCTGCTCCCAGCCCCTAGCTTCATGCTGGAACCCCTCCCGCTCGCACAGCCCAGCAGCCCCTGGGGCTCGCAGGGGATGTAGACTTCACCGGTGCCCATGACGCTGCAGCCCCCGCTGGTCTTGAGGACACTGGTGCCCCCTGGGCAGTAGTCGGTTCTCAGCACAGGTGTGCTGACCACACATGGCTCATAGAGGACTGCGCCTTTGGAGCTGCTCACAGCTGTGGGAACAGGGAGCGATGCTCAGGGTCCTGCACCGTGTGGCTCGAAGGACATGGCCCTGAAACCTCTCAACCAGGCCGTGCCCCCACCTGCTGCCATTCACCAATAAGGACACTCCCATTCCAGCCACCCGCTTCCCACGCTAGCCACAAAAAGTGCTTAGAAGCTCTCCTCTTTCTCCAGAGCCTTGGCTTCTGCTTCATGCTCTCAGTTTCTACTTGTCTGAACCTGCTTCACAACTGCTTTCTTCAGAGAGGCACCCCCTTGTCATGATGGTTGGTTCCCAGCAGCTTCCAGGCCCCAAAGCACTGAGGCCCAGCTGCGTCTCTGCTCCTAATATAATTCTGACTCCCAAAGTTAAGGACAGCCCCTCCATCTGACCAAGAGCTCCTGGCAGACAGAGCTATTCCCTGGGGGTGGCGAGGGCATGCTGATGTCTGGGCCAGGGCGGTGTGGTCTGTCCTTGTTGGCTTGATCAGTCCCTAGGACCCCAGAGCCCCAGGGGAGTGCGCATCTACTCACAGATATTCACGGGCCCAATGCCTTCACACAGCCTGGAGGGAGAGGAAAGAAGACACAAGGTAATTGCATGGAGAACAAGGTGGATGAACGTGGGGCACCCTTCTTCCTGACCATGCCGCCGCCGCCGCCGCTACTGAGCACTATGTTCAGGAGGAGGGCCTGCGGATTCTGGGCTGTTTGGGACTTTCCCTGACTGCAGGACAGGCAATCCCACCTGCAGCCTCAGCAGCGACCAGAGGGAGGAGGGAGAACGTGCCCTTGGTGCACAGCCCTGACCCACCTGTGCTCCTCGCCCTCCAGCAGCCGCCTGTAGGTGGCGATCTCAATGTCCAGGCCCAGCTTGGAGTTCATCACCTCCTGGTACTCCTTGAGCAGGCAGGCCATGTCCTGCTTGGCCTTCTGCAGGGCCTCCTCCAGCCCGGCCAGCTTGCACTTGGCATCACTGAGGGCTGCCTCGCCCTGCTGCTCTGCCTGGGTCAGCGCAGCCTCCAGCTTGCAGCGCTGGGGGAGAGGGCATAGCAAGGCATTACTGGGGGCCCTGGGAGCCCTACGCTGACTCTCAGAACAGGGAGAACATGGTCATTGTGAGATAATAAAAAATACATATATTGGTCTCTGCCCCCAGTTCCTGGCACAGAACTCCTAAATCCTTGTAATTCCCCAAGTGATAAAGAGCATTAGGAGCACCTTTTGATTTAATATTTGGTCTTTGACCCTGGCTTCTGACACAGAGTTCTCTAATCCTTTGGGATTCCTGGAGGATAGCAATGTCTGTTGTTCTAATGAGGTGACTCTCGGTGAGTCCTCGATGGCTCCTGGATGGGGGGGACTGGTCACCAGAAAGACCAAGCCATGACTAGAAGCTTGGGATTTTCAGCCCCACCCACCCATTACCGGAGAGAGGGGAGAGGCTGGAAATGGAGTTAATAATTGATCATGCCTAGGAGAGGAGGCCTCTATAAAATCCCCCAAGTATGGGGTTCACGTGGCTTCCACGTTGGTGAACATGCAGAGGTGCTGGGACATTCATGTGCCCAGAGTGTGGCATAGAAGCTCCGTGTCCTTCCTGCCTACCCTGCCCTATGTGTCTCTTCTATCTGAGTGTTCATCCATGGTCTTTATCGTAGCCTTTTATAACAAACTGTTAAAGAGTAAGTAAACTGTTTCCTGAGTTCTTTGAGCCACTCTAGAGAATTAATTGAACCTGAAGAGGGGACCATAGGAACCTCCGATGTACAGCTGATGGGTCAGAAGCGCAGGGGACAACTTGGATGCGGTCAGCATCTGAAGTGGGGGCAGCGGGGTGGGACCCTTACCCTGTGGGGTCTGACCCTCTCTCCAGCTAGATAGTGTCAGAGTTGAGTTGAACTGTAGGACACCAGCTGCGGTGGTGTAATTGGCTGGGTGAGCAGCTTCGTGAGTGTGGGTTAGGAGGAGGAAGGAGATTTCCTTCACAGTCATGGGGACATGCCAGATTCAAAGCTGCTGTGCCTCTCATCCCAGGATTGTGACATCTGGCTCCTCCTGAAACGTCGGACCCACTTCTGTCTATAACACCTCAAGGAGATCTGAGCAATTTCTTTGGGGCTAATAGATTGGAAGGGTCTGGCTGGTCTTCACTAGCCTAGGAGGACAGAGTGGGTCTGCATTTATGGACTCCTGGGAGTCATCTGGAATTTCAAGATCACAGGACTGGAGACTTTGGGTTAGAAGGGCCCATGGCAGCCATCTTTTCTGTCCCCCCGTCGAGGGGAGCACCCTTGCTATTTCATCTGGGACTGAAAGTTGCCTAGAGTCTCTCTAGGACTTCGCTGTTTCCCTAGGCTGCTCCTGCTGTTGGTCAGCTTTCGTAGAAAGGGCCTGTTCCCTCATAAGCGAGGGGCACAAGTTCATTCCCACCTCCAGGTGCTCCCAGGGAGAACGGACCTGCCCCCCAGGACCAGCAGTGAGGCGACCTGTGATGGGACCTCACGACCAGGGCTTTCTGGCCTCACCTGGGCTTTCACATTCTCAATTTCTTGCTGAAGCCGCTGGATCAGCTTGTTCATTTCTAGGATCTCGTTCTTGCGGTTGCGGAGGTTGTCACCGTGGCTCCCGGCCGTCAGCCGCAGCTCCTCATACTGCCGGGAGCGGGACGGGCGGGTCAGAGCCCTGGGCACTCACGCCCACACCGTGGCGTCTTACAGCCCCCTGTTCTCACCGTCCGGAGTCTCTCCTCCAGCGAATTCCTAGCTCAGGGCTCTCTGGATTCTTATGCTTGTTCTGCTCCCCATCCCCTTTGCATTTCTGGTCAATCTTGGGGTCCTTTTCTGGGCTGCTTCTTTTTTCTTCCCCAGCCCTGAACGTTCAGGCTTATTAAATGCTCCTCTAAGGTCTCCTTTTTCCTGTTTAGCTGTGGCTTGTTTTTTTCTCCCTAGCCCAGAGCCCCAGGGTCTTCTGAGGGCTCCTTCCCATTTAGAGTTCCCTCTGGACCTTAGAAGGGGTTTCTGTGCTCAGCCTGGGATGCCTGACAGATCTGGGAGTGAGGACAGACCACGTTTGCCTCACCAGGGTAGGTACCTTCTTATATTCTCCTTCAAAACAATAGAAAACAAAATGCAGCGTTACTTCCTACTTTGATTTAACATTTTTTTAAACTTTTGCTGCTCCAAATTCAATTTCTGAATAATGTTTTATAGATTTACATCTATAGATTAAAAACAACTAGCCAACTTTTCTGCATATAATGGATGGGAGCCTTTTGCATAGAGAAGGCAAACAAGTGATAAGCAAATCACTCTCTTTGGCTCTTTTGTTGTTTGGCTGTTGTGACAAAGCCTGCAGTTGCCTTGGCAATATGTGCTCTCCTCATCTTCCAACAGAATTCTGCTTTTATTTGGGGTGGCAGTGAGCCCAGATAAGAGAATATTTCTTGGCTTTTTCATTAATGAGATCTATGGGTAACGCTTCCAGGAAAGCTGTTTAAAGTGGGGGATGACCCAGTTGGCGTGTTTCTTTTTCCCTGTGTTCTTCCTGCCTGGAATGAGCATGTGAGATTAGCGATATGGCAGCCTTCTTGGGACATGAGGCAACCGTGAGGATTACAGCAACGTTAAGGATAGCAGAATAGAAAGCGAGAAGGAGCTTGTGTCCCTGATGGCAACAGAGAACTCTCGTGTCATCTGTGGGCAGTCTATTTCTGTAACCTCTTTGAGGACCGGGATGGTGTGACTCTTAGTACCCTTGCAGTGCCACACACCTCAGTAAGGCCATCCTTCCCTGGCCACCCTATTTAAAACCTCATTCCCACAACACTCCCTGCACTTCATGCTGATTGATTTTCTTCAAAGCGCATGCCACCATCTAACGGACACCCACCTACTGATTCACCTTGTGTATTGTCAGCCCCTCCGCCCCCCACCCCGTCCTCTAGAATGAAAGTGACACATAGGCAGGGTTTGCTGTCTATTCAGTCTCCTGCTGGAATCCAGCATCTAGAACAGTGCCTGGGGTATGATGGTTGCTCAATAAACAGTTGTTGGATGAAGAAATGACCGAGCGAATGAATGCTTGGTGTCTTTCGCCGACAGGGCAGGCGAGACGGAGATGATAATATTTGCAAAATCAAATTGCCCTTGGGAGTATCAATCTCCCTCCCAGCAAGCCCCTAATTCCCTCCGTCTGGGGCCGCTTTAATGACCGCTCCTGCCCTACCATCAGTACCCACTGCACCATTAGCCTCCCTCACGCCCTGAAGCCCAGGGCCCTCTTTGCAGTCATTGCCAATTAGTGCTTCTTGAGTACTGCCTAGGGGAACACTTCCAGTGTCGGTGCGTGGGTAAAGCTGGGACGCCCGGCACCCTGATGACAGGCCTGGGCTGTCCGTGGGCTCCCCTCCCACATGCTCTGCAGGGACCTGGCCCCGGAGCCTGGCAGAAACAACAGGACCCGGGGTTTACGGGGTTCCCTGTGGTTGTGGTGTGAAGCGGCCCTCATTATCTTCTCACTCACTCCCGAGGGGAGGGGGGGGGGTCTGGGGTCCCAGCCCGGCCCTGCCCAGGCCTCACCCGGCTCTGGTACCAGGCCTCGGCTTCGGCTTTGCTGCGGCTGGCGATGTCGTCATACTGGGCCTTGATCTCGGCAATGATGCTGTCCACATCCAGCTCCCGGCTGTTGTCCATCTTCACGATGACGGAGGTCTCGGAGATCTGAGACTGGAGCAGGCAGATCTCCTGGGTGGGGGGCAGGTGGGAATGTGTGAGCATTTAGAGGATAAAGGTGGAGGGGGGCAGGGGGAAAGCAGCTCTGACCTTCCCAGAGCAGATTTGCACAGGACTTTGCCGAGCTGTCCTGAGCCTTCCATCACCCACCTGTTCTTCATCCCCCCTCTAGTCACGCAGACCCAAGAGCCAAGGTCTGGGCCCTCTGACTTCTGGGAGTCTCACTGCCTGAGAACCAGCTGTCCGTGCTGATTTCTTCCCGTGCTCACTTTTGAGTCAACTTGCCCCGGACCGTCCCCGCTGGCCGGAGCTCTCCCACTCCATCATGCCCCCGGCACTGGCCCCTGACCGAGCCCCTGTGGGCAGTGGGGCTGCAGGTACCTCCTCATACAGGCCTTTTAGGAAGTCGATCTCCTGGACCAGAGCCTCTGCGTTGGTCTCCAGGTCAGCCTTCATCAGGAAGGCCGTGTCCACATCCTGCGGCCAGAGCAGGGACAACAATAACCTGGGGCCAGGGGAACGTGTGAGGGCCACCCCTCCTCCCACAGGGCCACCTCCCAGGCAAGCCAGTGGCTGGTGTGGGACCCACGTGTAGGCCCATGCGGAAGTGAAAAGGTGACAAAGCCAAGGATGGAGGGAGGAACCCCAGCCCCAGGACCCCATGCCTGGGCCTGGCACCCTGATAGGGAAGGATCTGACAGAGTGGGTTTTGAAGGAGCCTTGAATACAGCTTCTCAGAGCCCTCTGTGCGGCGCATGGGCCATAGAACACCTCGGTGTCTATCTGAGAACCTATCGCTATTGTTTTCATCTTTTGTGGTTGGAGTCAGCGGTTTTGTTTGGTTTTTGATTTGGCATTAGCTCTATCTCCAACTTCTCGGGCAGGTGTAGACACAACCCTAACTGGGTTGGGCCCGCATGAGTTGGGAGGTGGAGGCCAGGTCGATCACTGCCCTTCTGCAAGAAGTGGGGGACAGCTGGTTTTCCTCTTTCCCAGGATCGGTAGTGTTGGCCCGGGCTCCGAGGAGGGGAGAGGCCCTGCTGGGGGGTGTGTGGGCTGCAGACACGTTTGGACTCGGTCAGGGGCTGAGTGTGGTGAGGCCACCTGGGCCAGCTCAGGGGGCCTTCTCTCTCCCTGTGCCGCCCTCCCTCACCTTCTTCAAGGCGACAAACTCATTCTCAGCACAGGGCCGCAGGGAGAGCTCCTCTTCATACCTGGTGGATGGGCAGGAAGAAATATTTTAGTCTGGCTTGGGGGTTCAGAAGTAGCCTTGGTATCCAGCCTGAGGGAGGGAGCCTGGGGGGCAAATCTGCCTCTCACTGACTTAATGCCCTAAGGAGTCGCCAGGCTGGCCCCCATCATCACTGGACACCTCTAGCTCCTCCAGCCACTCAGGACAGATGATTGTCATCCTAGCCTCTCATTAGCTACTGTGCATGTTGACCTCCCTCCCCACTCCCTGGTAGCCTGTTCCTGTGATTAATCATCTTCTGGGAAGTCCTTCTTAAGGCCACTTTCATTCTATCTTGCTGCAAAGGAAGCCCAAGTCATCTAGTTGTTTCTTCTGGGAAGGTGGTGAAGAGTTGGCTGCCTTCTCTGAGTTGTTCTCAGATTTGGCTGCAGACACTGGAACCCCCGCCTGCCCCGTGCCCTCCCCCCAGTGGAGGTCTGAGCCTGGCCTCTACTTGCAGAGGTAGCAATTACCCACTTTACCAGAGCCGTAGAGACAGCCCGGCCACCTCTAGGCTCCGAGGGAGCTCCTCACCCACTCCCTGTCTCCCTGGGCAATGGAATCAGGGCCAGGAGGGTCAGTCTGGCTGGGATGACTCAGTCTGATGAGTGATATTGATCCATTAACATCCTCACTGTGCTTCCTGACGCCCATCCTTCCTTATTCCAGCAGACCTCGGCCTCAGCATGGGCCCCGGGAGCTGGAGCCTTCTGCCTGGGCGTGAATCCCAGCTCGGGCAGGTGCTAGTCATGTGACTTTGGCGAAGGGACTTGGGTGAGGGACTTCTCTGTGCCTCAGCTTCATCATGTACAGAATGAGAATGACCTCGGTCCAGCCTCAAGGAGCTGCCGTGAGCTAATGCATGCACTGGTTAGTGTCTGTCAAGCGCTGGGCCGCCCTGGCATGAGGTCCAAGCTGCATAAGCATTGGCTGTTACTATCAAACCAGCATTTAGTGTCATCCTTCTTCCCCCAGCTTTCCCCGTCCACAGTCTTCATCGTGAGCTGCAAACCACGTCTCCTGCCCACCTTGTATGTTACCCGCCAAGAAAGGCATTGCTCCGGCTGAGAGGGCTGTCCTTGCCACATCTCACCTGTCAGGGTCTGCTTCAGTGGTCTCTCTCACTTGGCACACTCTGGCCCTTCTTGTCACCTGCTCCCGTCCCTTCCCCTTTTCTGGGATCTACTCCGGACTCCCTTTTTGTAAGGCCCTACTAGAATGAAACTTCCTCATGGCCCCGAGCAAATGGCACCTCCTCCAGGAAGCTTTCCTGGGTCCCGTCTGCACCCTCACTGTCTGGACATTCCTCTCCACTTCTGCCTCGTACCCCATCGTAACAGTTTGTGTGCATGGAGGTCTATGCTGGACCAGGGGATCTTGAGGGCAGGAGCCAGCTCAGCACAGTGTTTGGCACCAGGAAGGCATAGGACTGACACCTGCAGCATGAGTGGCCCCCATGTGGCTGCATTCCACTGACGCACATCCCTTAGGAACCGTGGCTCTGAGCCTGCTTGCACCGCTTCTTGTCAATGGAAATGTGTCTCTCTCAATCTTCCCCCACCAACGTGTGCTCCCATGGACCCCTGGACCCAGAGACACCCACCTAGGACCCATGAGGCCATTTATCCAGGCCTCAAGCCTCTTGCAGGCACTGGACCCAGCAGCCTGCAAGCTCCTAGTTAGCATCTGTTTCTCGGCTACCTTCTCCTTGGAGGCGGGCCAGGAGCTGCCCTCGGGGAGGGCAAGTCTAGCAGGCCACCTGACCTTAACCACAAGGGCTGGGGACGTAGAGCCCTGGTGGTGCGGGGAGGGGTGATGGCTCCCATCTGTGGACTCGAGGTCCAGGAGCTGAGTATCGGGGAGTGAGGGAAAACGTGGGCCAGGTTAGCTTGGATGTGGTCCCAGGAGGTGCCGAGAAGGGCTTATCAGGAGGAAAGGACAGTGGGAGCAAAAGCTTGGAGGGAAGAGGGTTTGGGGGCCTGTTTGCGGAATAAGACGTGGTTCCGGATCTGAACGGGGATTGATAGAAGATACAGCCAACCACGTGGTAGAGCAGAGCCCTGGAGGGCGGGAAATGGCAGGAGAAAGAACTAGTATTACAGGGAGACGAGGAGGGCCTTATTGAGGGAGGGCAGCAGAAAGGGAGGTGAAGACAAGTACACAAGTTCAGACCTTCTACCGCGTTACTCGACGGGCAGTATCCTAGGTGTTCTGCCTGTGTTATCCCACTGCACTCTTGAGCTCTACCTGATCCACGAAGTTGGACACTTCCCATTGCAGAGATGGGGAAACTGAGGCCCAGGCTGTTGATGGAGCCTGCCTCAGATTCCCTGGTGGGGTAAACGTGGGCCACACTCACTTTTTCTTGTAGCTTTCCATCGTGTCCTGGAGGCTGCAGAGCTCAGACTCCAGCCTGGCCCGGTCCCCCGCCACGCAGTCCAGCTGCCGCCGAAGGGCAGAGATGTAGGCCTCAAAGATGGGCTCTATGTTGCTCTGGCAGCACCTCTGCTGCTGCATGAAGTTCCACTTGGTCTCTAGCAGCTTGTTCTTCTGCTCCAGAAAGCGCACCTGCCGCCAAGAACAGGACGTCACGGAGGGCAAGGGAGCCTGGGGACCATGGCTGGGAGACAGTAAGAGGTGACGGGGTGGGTGGGCAATGGGATCAGCGTGTGCTCTTCCTCCCAACACACTGCTGCCAATGGGCTAAAATTTTCAGATGAGGCTCTCGCCGTAGACTGGCACCGGAGGATATGTCTCTGTGAATCCCCTGCCCAGGGGAGCTTTTATAAGACCCTCACCTTCCACCCAGGGGTCGCACGTTGTTATGGGAGGAGTACTGTCCCAATAGGCCTGGGACAGGGCCACCTTCCAGCCCTGCCCACCAAGCCTTGCAACCTCAGGCAACACATCCTGTCTCTTTAAGCCTCGCTCGGCTTCCTAAGTTTCCTGCTTGGTGCCGTGTCTGGGAAGCACTTCAGGAATCTTCATGCTAATGCAAACTGCTGACAGGATGCCTGGGAGTTCAGGCTTTCTTTGGTCACAGCCCAGGGGCACTCAGGGGAGGTCAGATCAAAGGCTTGGTCCTAGGACCCTAAGCTCTCTCCCCTGACTCTGAGGCATCCTGCGTGGTTGCGTCCAAAACATGTCCCTGTCACGGGAACATGGAGAGCTACCCGCCAGCTTTTCCCTTTTGGTGGCTTAGAAACCGAGATGAGGAGACCTGAGTGAGCTGATCACGGCCACCCCCTTAGCCATTGGTGGAGGGAACACGGTGTCCAATCCTCGGAAGCAATCTGCAGAGGGAGAAATGTTGCCTTACTTCTGGTCGACGGCCACATCACTGTGGGGGGCAGGGAGGGGTGGCTCCCAGCCTCACGAAAGTGGTGTGATGTTGCTGAAGGTCAGGGCCCAGAACTTAAATGAGCTTTAAAGATAAAACTGTAAGTGGAGCGGTTCCCATTTACCGAACTAAGTTTCTTCTGGAGCACTTTTACCTACATCTTACCTCCTTTGACTGCCCACCACCAAGGCCCCCTTCCCCACTGGGCAGCAGGGGCCCTGAGGCTGAGAAGTGAGAGGTTTGCACAGGGCCTCAGGACAACAGGAGTGGAGCCAACACCAGGGCCCAGGCCTCCTGACTTCTGACCCAGGATTCTTTCCCTACACCTGGGGGCTCAGCAGAAACACTGGCTCAGCCCCTGATCCCAGGAGCCTCCCTGGGGTGTGGGAAGAGGTGCAGAGGCAGCTGCTTGGAGTTCCGATTGGCCAGGTCAGTGCCTTTCAAAGGCCACACACCACCCCTCCCTGTAGCCTGTGGGAGCTGTGGCTTTGGTGACAGCAACCGTGTGCCCCAGCTCTGACTGCTCCATCTTCTCCTCACACCAGGCCTACTTTGGTGGCAAATCTGGGGTCACGGTGCCCGTCCCTGCCTCCAGGCCCAAGGCTCTCACCCCAGCTCAGGCACTCAGAAGGCGGCTCTATTTTCACAGCCTCCTCTGCCTTGTTGGTTTTTCTTTTCAGTACCTATCATTGCTTTGGAAGTTCCTCTTGTAGTCTGACCTCAGGCAGCCCTTGTGATTTTCTTAGGTAACATTCAGAGAGAGATGACAAGAGAGTAAAAAAAAGAACTAGCAGGTAGAAATGTCTGGTGCTGAGCCTGATTGAAGCAGCTTTCGATGATTAGGGGTCAGACAGTACAGGAGAGGCCGGTCCATCCACTGCACCTTCTCTGTTGCCTCCCTGCCCCGGATGCAGAGCACTCTCTAAGTCCCAGAGCCCCCCGAACAGGGTGCCTCCCTGTTACCTTGTTGATGAAGGTTGCAAAGCGGTTATTCAGGCACTTGATCTGCTCCTTCTCGTCCCTCTTCACCCTCTGCACGGCCGGGTCGATCTCCAGCTCAAGCGGGACCAGCAGGCTCTCATTGATGGTGACGGGGGCGATGCAGGCCGAGGGCCCACAGGGGACCCCCGCTCGGTACCCGAAGCCAGGCAGGCCACACCTGGAGGCCACCCGGGGCCTCCCAAAGCCCACATTGCACAGGCTTCGGGAGCCCAGGCAGCCCAGGGCGCGGAGCGCCCCCCCGCCCCCAGACCGGCACGGCCCCTTGCTCACTGCATAGTGGGTGACCATCCGGGGGAGGACAGCGGAGCAGGAGCTGAAGCTCCGACCGCCGCATCTGGAGCCCGGCTGGAAGGAGCGGCACGACATGGCGGGGGAGAGGCAGAGAGGTGGCTGGAGGGGAGAGCGCGAGGCCCGAGTTCTCAAGCCAGCCCAGCTTCCCCCCTTTTATCTCACTGGGGGTGGAGGGCCAGGCAGAGTCAAACCCCAAATCACCACAAACAGGTTTATAAGCTTGGGATATTGGCAGCTGCTAAGTACCAAGGTGGATAATTAGGGTAGCGAAGAGCAAAGGGAAGGAGCAATGGGCAGTGTTGCTGTCCTCTTTCCTTGTTTATGGGGGCGATGAAAGGGGCCAACCAGACAAACGTTTGGCATGTTGCGTGGCTCAGCTTCAAGGAAAGGGAGATTTAGGACTTTATGCCATTTAGTGGTGGGGAGAGGCATGAATTATACACCCCCGTTGCCCAAGACTAGAGGCCAAATTAACTATGCTTGTGGATGCTCTATTTCCCCAAGGCTGCTTTTCTGCTTTTCTGCCGATGTGCCAGATCCAAGTGCCCTCCATAGGCTCTTGGGTGTTCCTAGAAGCTCCCTGGGAGGGAGGCTTTTGAGGTGGGAGAAGCCTCCACAAGCAGGTTGGGCCCTGCCCCTCCTCAGGCCAGGGGGCTGCTGGCTCTGGCTCGGTACCACTAAGGCTCCTGACATGGACTCCTGTCTCTGGGGCCCATTTAGTCCAAAAAAAGCCTGCAGGGGACTCAAGAGGAGATGCTTTGTGCTGGAGGAGGGGAGAGGAAGAGATGCTCTCCCCAAGACCCTTTGGACCCTCAAATATGCATTGATGTCAGCCATTAGGTTGACACTATTGTGTCACTAGCCTGTCCCCACTCCATCCCCAGCCTCCCCGAGGTAGACAGAGCCTGCCGTAATCTGAGGACATTTCCGGGGACCGTTGTTGCCCTCAGGAATTGCTCAGATGGATGCGGGATACCGGCTTCCTTCCCAGCACCCAGGTCACAGCTCTTTGGAGATGCTTGAAATGCCCCCCGCCCCTAACTCCCTTCCCTTTCCCTTTCCATCAGTTCTATCCATGAGACCTCTGCAGTTGCCGACTGTCTTTCCCTGCCATACTGGCTTTTTTCCAGGTCACAATTAAGCCAATAATGATAATAATAATAATAACATTTATTGGGCGTTTATTGAGTGCTGGGACCACGTCAAGCTCTACACCCACGACCTCATTTAATTGCATGACGGCACCGTGATGTAGTTTCTGCTTTCCAGATGAGAAACGTAAGGAGCAGAGTGATTAATTAAGCACCCCGAACCACGCAGCGCATCTGTGGCAGGCTGGGATTCGATCCCATTCTTTCTGTTGTCACCGTGCTCTGCTGCTCTGATGGAGAGAAGCCTGGTTGAGAATGGGGGTCTCCTGCTGATATGCACTGTCTTCTCTGCTCCACCTGAAGATTAGGAGCCTGGAGCTCCACAGTTTCGGTTTAACTGTGCTGTTTCACTGTCCCCTTCTTCCTAGTTTTGACTTTGGGTCCTAGAATGCTCGGGAGGGAAATTGGGGCTTGGGCAGGTCAGGGCTGTCACAGGAGGCCACGGGCAATGGTGGGAGGCAGAGGGGAGGTGGGGTGGGTCTTGTTGCATGATGGCAGGAGGGGGGGATTCCCATTCCGCCTTGGGGTAAGCATCACAGAGTGGGCCTAGGAGACGGTGTTAGAGGGGATGGTGGCAGTAAGAAGCCAGACCGCAGAGTACCCCCTCACCACTCCAAGGCCAGAGCATGGTGCAGTGACCTGTTGGGTCCCTGGGAGCCTAGGACCAGAGCTGGGGATCAGCGAGTAAGATGGTTGGCTGGATCTGTTGTGGGCGGAAGGCACTTGCTCCCAGAGAACACCGGTTCCAAGGCCGCCCTCTGAATGGGAGAGAAGACGCGGACTCTACCAAGACCTAGACGCCTTATTGAAGTGATATCAGGAAATAGGCAGGCATGCGGAGCAGGCAGTTCAGGAGGGTTTGAGACGATCAGAGCGGGGTGACCTTTTTTCTGACTTCATATCTCTCCTGTCTTCATGTCCACAACGGGCAGCCAGGCCCTGCTGGCCTTTGGAATGCATTTGGTCTTGAATGCATGGCAGGTGTGTGCCTACGCTGCTCCCCTCTTCCACCTCTCCTCTACCTCTGCTCCCTTCCCAGGCCGAGCAAGCATCCTCTGAGGGTGAGGAAAAATGCTGGAGGAAGGACTGCCTCTCTCCCGAGTCTGCCCTCTTAGGCCTTCCCTGTGGGGCAGGGGGTTTGGCGGACTGCCTTAAGAGTGTCAGTTCTAGCCAGGCCTGGGGCACGGACAAAGCCGCACTGCCGACGTGTCAGAGACAGGGAGATAGAAAAAGAAAGGTCAGGAGAAAGGCAGCAGGGGATATGTTGCCAAACAGATGAGTGGGAGAAGAAGAAAAGAGAGAAATGAAGGAGCAAAGGGGAGGGGTGGAGAGAGGAGACACACGGGGTGGCGGCGATGGAGGAGAACAAGGAGGGAGGGGGGAAAGAGCAAGGTAAGAAGGAAAGAGAACTTTCCAGAAAAGAGACATGGCTACCACAGAGCAAGGAGAGAGACTCCTGAGCCTGGAGGATTGTTCTGCGGGAGGATTCTCCCAGGGCCATTCTAACACAGGCTGATTGGGCTCCTCTGCCTGGTGCCTCTGCTGCCCGGCCGCCTTCCCACGCCTGGCCTGAGCCTGCCCCCCTCCCGCTCAGCAGCAGGGCAGCTCTGTGTGGGACGCTAATTCTAAGATTGGCTTAAACGAGGCAGATGTGAAAGGAAGTCGGCCATGAACTATCATGGCACGTAGCCCCAGGCCATGGAGAACTTTTGCGTTCTTGATAAAATCATTCTATTCTAGTATGAATAAGCGACTTGGTCATATTTTGAAGGGTGTTGATTTCGTATTCCAATATTCTGGTGGTGGGAATTGTCAGGGGAAGTGGCTGGGGGCCTGGCAGGGGACAAGACAGAAGGAAGTGAGGACACAACATGACTGTTGGGTTGGCAGCCTTCCCTGGTCGGAGGGGGCCTGCAGGAAAGGGTCCTGTTTGCAGTGAGAGAGCCCGCGCGTGGGAACTCTGGCCTAGACTACACGCAACTTCTCTGGGGGCACCAAGGTCAATTCTAAGCTCCCCCCTCCCCCATAAAGGACGGTGGGTGCCGTGGATCTGGCTCCGGTGGGAAGAGGAAGACCCTACTGCACCCCTGCTCTGGAAGCTGCTGACGGGCTAAGTCCTAGCCCAGGTCTTGGCACAGAGCAGTTGAGTGGGCATTAGTTGGAGTGGATGCCTGGAGACCCTGGAGGGCCCTGGGATAAGGAGCAAGGGGGGGTACGTCTGTGGGGACCCGTCTGGAGGCCGAGGGATGGACAAGGTGACAGCAAAGCGGCAGGCCTTAGGGCTGGGGATTGGGGGAGACTGGAGGGGGGCGCAGCCGAGGTGGGCGGGGCCCTTTAGCTCCTGTAACTCTTCTTGGTGGACGACGTCTTGGAGATGATGCGCACGCTGGAGCTGCTGCCGCCCATGCTGCGGCCGCTGGTGGAACTGAAGCCACCCCCGGAGCCGTAGCCCAGGCTGCAGCTGCAGCCGCTGCCTCTGGCCAGGCAGAGGCCACCACCTGAGCTGTAGCCTGTGTCCCCGCTGGAGGAGACCACGGCTGTGGAGAGAAGGCACAGGGTACCGCTAGCAGGCTCCCCCAGATCCCTGGGAGCCCCCCTCCCTGGCTCTAGGCCAAGGAGGGCCCCCTCCCGCAGGACTTCCTCAGGGAACAGGAATCTCCTGGGGCCAGGGGCCAGGGTCAGAGAGGGTGGGCATGGACTTGCTGCCTCAGCGTGAGTGTCTATATGGGACATCGCACTCTTCAAAGCTCTTTCACAGCTGTGACCATGTTGATCTCAACAGTCCTGAGAGGACACCATTACTGGAACGACCTCCACTTCCCAGAGGGAAAATGGAGGTACAGAGACATCAAGGTGCAAGCCCGGGGTCACACCTGCTGTGTCTGTTCCTCAGCTGCACAGGGCTCTCATACCGGACGGGGCGTGATGCCTCGTGTCCTGGGCAGGAGCGTAGGCTCCCATACTGGAAGAGGTCCTAAGGCCATCTGGGTGAACCTCCCCCAATTGCAATCACCTCTGACACATCACCAAAAGGCAATGGTTTATAGTACCCGCTCAAATACGTTCAGTGAGGGGGAGCTCACTACCATGGGACGCAGCTCCTCACAGCCTGTCAAACATTTGAAGATGCCTCATTGACCTCCCCTCTCTGTCCAGTTCTCCAGCTGAAGCATTCTTATTCCTTTTATCAACTGGTTTCAAGCCCTCCCCCATCCTGGGTTTCTGGCCTCCCTCGTGTGCTCTGAGCCACCATGGGACTAAGGAGACTCTCCATCTCATGCCCAGGACTCACCACTGCCTGAACATCCCTCCCCCTGCGGGGTCATTCCGAGAGATGATTCTTCCTGCTCTCCCCTCTGTGAGCTGAGGCCGAGCCATGCTCTACTTGTTCCATTAATTTGCTTCAATTCTAGATACGATTGTTTCCTTTTAACCAGTTTACTAACCTCTTGTTAGTTGTGTGAGTTTGAATCCTGCCAGAACTAGCTAAGGAATCGCGTTCAGGCTGCGGACCCATCACTCTGTATGTTGTCCTGTCCTGTGACTGGGGTCCTCTGGGGGCCAGAGTGGAGTCCTTCCTGTGGACAGGGGACCCCACCAGGACTGGTCCTGGGTGGTGAGGTCTCACCACAAGTTTCTTTTGAGTCCACAAAAGGGAAAGGCCAAAGAAGAGGGGGTCTCCACAGAGCTCTTAGGAGGGTCTTAATGACATCCCCGCCCATATCTATCACCAATTCTTTGTTAGTGATGCTATTGCTTCTGTTTTGATGCCCACTTTTCTATTTTCCCAAGACATTTACTCACAGATGTTCACGGGTCCGACGCCTTCCCCAGTGAGTCTGTTGCGGGGGGGGAGGGGGTGGGTGGAGAGAGAGAGACATTTCATTTGCTGAGAAGTTGAAGAGCCCAGGGCTCTTGCATTGC